AACAGATTACAGTTACATTTTTGTAATTAAATTACCATTACATGTAACTAGTTACTCCCCAACACTGACTATACAGGCCACTGGAATGTTGTTTAAAATTGGTCACAAATCACTTTATTATATTCTTCTGCGTGTGTGCAGTGAATGGGAAGCGGGAGCAGGCGCTGGAGTCTCTGCAGCTCTGTCTGAAGCTGCAGGATTCACGCAGTAGAGAGGAGCTCCGCAGGTTACTGCGCTTTATGGCCCTCGCCGCCGGCCCTCAGGAGATCAAACTACACAAAGAGGTACGAATAATCTGGCGTCTAGTGGAGACTGAGAAATACTGTTTGAGTGTGTGGTTTTATGCTCATGCAAGTAAATTGACACTTAAGACTGGTTTTGTGGTCCAGGGTCACATTTGTAAAACCAGTAATGGATGATATGAAGTGCTGGTGTATTTTTAAATGACATAGTGTTTGGAGATCATTTGAAAAATGAAAAATCATTTGAAAAATATGGAAAAATCGATACAGTGTCTGCACTGAAACTGCTGCAGATCTTCCAGTATGTTTGCTGCGAAATCAGACCAGTGCACAGTACGACAGTGTTTCTATCACACAAAAGTGTCATTGTTAAAAGCAGAAGCTAAAGTGAGCTTTGCAATTGCCATGCTTGTGAAAAGACACTGAATTAAATAACAGCCTCTTTTCTGCTTTTGCCTGAAAATCATTTATTACACCTACAGAAATGCCATTCCTACATCCCTACAGAAACTTGACAAGCTGTTTGTTTGTTTTGTTCTGTAGATAGAGAACAGAATGGCAGTGAAGAGGGCGTTCTCCAATGCTATTGTGTATGGGACTAAACTAGCCAAGGGGAAGGTTGATCTTCTGGTTCTTTTCATGATGGACAACCACCACGACCTCTTCAAGGTGAGCCAGCAGCTCAGACTGGCCTCTAAAAACACTGTTAATGACATACAGTTAGACATATACGACTGTGCAAAGGTTTGGGGTCTGTAAGAAATGCCATTCTATTGAACTTTAAATTCATCAAAGAATCCTGAAAAAAAGTATAATGGATTCCACAAACATTAAGCAGCAAAAACCGTTTTCAGTGTTGGTAGTAATAAGCAAATCCGCATATTAGAATGATTTCTGAAGGATCATGTGACACTGAAGACTGGATTCATGATGCTGAAAATTCAGCTTTGCATCACAGGAATAAATTGCATTTGAAAATGTATTCAAATAGAAAACAGGTATTTTAAACTGTAATAATATTTCAAAATATTACTGTTTTTACTGTATTTTTGATCAAATAAATGCAGCCTTGGTGAGCAGAAGAGACGGCCCAAAGTTTCGAATGATTGTTTATATCAGCATATATAACAATTGTAATAGTCCTTGTGTTTTAAAATGAGACATTAATTTGCCTTGTGAATAATTCAGGTCATGGTTCTCTCATAAAATTGTGTTTGTGTGCCTGAAGTGAACTGACAGCATTTGTAATAATTTGACTGTGTTTTTGCTCTAGATTCCCGTCACATTGCACAAACTTGTAAGTGATAAACTGGCCAGTATCATCAAAGGAACAGATCCTGATCTCATCACAGGTAAATCTACAAATATATGTAAAATACACGAGAAAGGTCTTTCATGCTGGTTACTTTTTTTTTTTTATTCAACATTTACAGTAATAACAGGATGAAAATACAGGAGAATAGAAAAAAAATATTGTTCCCACTCCACCTCAACCTAAAATAAATAAATAACAATAAAATAAAATAATTAAAATAAAATGAAATTAAACAAGCTAAATTGAAAATATATATTTTTTAAAGTACTCGATATATAACTATACTGTAATACAGCGTATATGAAAGCATGTAAAGAATACATGCTGAATCATTCAAGTTTAAAAATAAAAGAATTTAGCCATATATCAAGTGTACGCACATAATTTGACAAACAAATCCTTACAAAAAATAAAGTATGCTGGTTACTTTTATGAAACATCCTGAATTACCAAGTAATCAAGGTAATAAAACTGATTGATTAAATCAAAAACCTTGGTAACACTTATTACCTAACATTAAGAAACAATGAGCAATATATTTGTTACTGTATTATTATTTTTTTTTTTTTGTATCTTTGTTAACTTTAGTTAATAAAAAAAGAGCTGTTTATTCTTAATATTAGGTCCGGTCCATTACATAATACAACAAATCCTTACAAAAAATAAAGTATGCTGGTTACTTTTATGAAACATCCTGAATTACCAAGTAATCAAGGTAATAAAACTGATTGATTAAATCAAAAACCTTGGTAACACTTATTACCTAACATTAACAAACAATGAGCAATATATTTGTTACTGTATTATTATTATTATTTTTTTGTATCTTTGTTAACTTTAGTTAATAAAAAAAGAGCTGTTTATTCTTAATATTAGGTCCGGTCCATTACATAATACTAACAGATACAACTTTTGATTTTAATAATGTATTAGTAAATGTTGAAACTGACATTAACTGAGATGAATAGATGCTTTCGAAGTATCTATCATTGTTAGTTCATGTTAACATTATTGTAAAGCATCACCGCAGTCTTATCATAGTAGATGTTTGTGAGCCTTATTTGTAAATAAAACACGGCTTATAATGTACGATCCTTGATTTTCTAAGAAAATACATTTCAAATCTCCACTCTCTTAGGAACAACGTACTGTCGACGTCTGACTGGAAAAGATTACCTGGAAACAGTTCAGAAAACTACAAGAGAGGAGCTGTGGACGTTACTGAAAACTATTCACGAGAACTCGAAGCTCTCTCTGAAAGAGAAGCGCCGTCTGCTCGGACAGTTCTACAAAGGACATCCTGAAATATTCGTGCAATATTTTGGCAACAGAATATCCAGTGTTTATATTTAAAGATCTTCAGTTAATTTTATATTATATATGTATGATATGTAAAAAGTATTGTAAATATGTATATATTTATACCACTGTTATGTCTGTATTGATGGAGAATGAGATTTGTTGGACAATTAACACATTTTTTCTATTCTTTATCAAAATTATGATATTACTACCACTTACTGCCCAAAAAAAACACATTCTTTCAAGCAAATCGTGGCAAAATCGGGCTAAAATAGTGTAGTCTGAACCGGGCATTAGACCACAAAACTCAATCCTACCTATAAATTCGAACACTTCAGAGAAACAGAAATATGTCTTAAAAATAGGGTGGCCATATATACGGGACACGTTCTGGTCAGGATTTTTATATTGCCTAAAACAGCCAAAGTAGTTTGACCAATAACATGCAGGTATAGTACATAATCGACCAATCGTCGATTGCGCGAGAAGGTCTAACAGCCAAAACCTGGATATTTTAGGCAATAGGCCTATAGAAATCCTGGCAAGGGTGCGTCCCGTAAAAATGGCCCGGATGGTCACCCTACTTTAAAATAAAAAAATAGGTTACAAAAAAAGTCCAAACTGCTTCGAGTTCAACAAGGTCAAAGGCTTTGTTGAGATTACAAATAATTTAAAGACATATAACCATAATATGCCAGCTCTATCATACAACCTATGTAGAATTTACTTGGTACTTCCAATTCATTTCTCTCATTTGAATATTTTTAACCTAAACTGTGGAATATAAACTTGAAAATACATGTGCTCAGTATAATCAGGGCCAGTAAGTTCAGACGTCCCACGCTCACCACGCAAGACTCCATTGCTGAAGAAAAAGCATGTTGAAGCTCGTTTTAAGTTTGCTGTACCACATTTAGACAAGCCTGTGGAATACTGAGAATATAGTCTGGTCCAATGAGACCAAAATTAAAAAATCTATGGAAAGAACTAAAGATCAGAGTTCATAGAAGAGGCCGACAGAACCTTCAAGATTTGAAGACTGCAAAAAGTTAGTTTTAGGCCCTGTATATATATATATATATATATATTATTTATTTTTTACTGTAAATGTGCTGAAAATGTGTAATTGTTGTGGAACAAATGTGAATTATGACACTTTGTTCCACAACAATTAAACATTTACAGCAAAAAATAAATGAGAATTTGAGGGGGGAAGGATGCTTCATTGATGTTTGTTCTGAAAAAAAAACAAAAAAAACAATATATATATATATATATACTGTATATGAAATGCAACAAATGTAATTGTGCTAAAACAGCTTGCATTCAGTTTATGCTAAATATGTTTTTTCTGATTTTGAAGTAAAACATGACCTGGAGATATTTGTGTGAAAATCACATCTAGGTCCTTACAATTGTCCTCAAACTGATGTGCTCTGGTGCAGTGGTTTTCAATCCTGTTCCTCGAGACCCACTGCTCTGCACATTGTGCATGTCTCCCTTATCTGACACACTCATTTGAGTTCATGGAGCTCTTTCCTAATGAGCTGATGATCTTAATCAGGTGTGTAAATTAGGTGAAATCGCATCATATGACCCCTTTAACGAATTATAACAATGCAATGAAGTGAAAACAACAGCCAGTTTTTAAAGAGATTTACTGTTGCTGACGCAAGCGAATAAAATTCTTTCTTCTTCCTTCTTTATTCTTCATAACTCGAGAATGCGGCGACACATGCCTGGGGTTACGCCGCAGAAACGGTGCAGTGAAGTATAGTTTGAAAGGCTTCACGTTCGGCTGTAACTTATACACTGAGCCGCTTTAGACAGCTCACCAGTAGCTCTTCAACGGACGAGAACACACACAATTATGTCAAAATGCGCGGTTTTGGCGAGTAATGAGCTGATGATCTTAATCAGGTGTGTAAATTAGGTAGACATGCAAAATGTGCAGAGCTGTGGGTCCCCAGGAACAAGTTTGAAACCCACTGCTCTGGTGTACTTACTGTAGTATAAAGATATCCACTGACTGCACTATAGTGCATCCTAGTGGTGAGCACAAATGCTCCGACATTCGTTTCAGAGATCACAGATTTATCTGGTACTGCCGGACAGTGAAGTAACACACACGACACAAGCACTTTTATCATTTTGCTTTATTGGAAGCAAGTTGTGTGTGATCCTCAGTTCACTACAAAATTAATTCAACTCTTCCATCACCAGCAACTACACATGGCAAGTTCAGAACTATGAGGCAAACAAGAATAAAAACTTTTTACAGTATAAACCACCCAGTTTTAAAAAATAAAACTGTTAAAAAGAAACTTTGAAAGCACTGAACCAAATGGAGATGAGCGATGGTTTGTGATCGCTGTGGGAGTGCAGGCTTCACAGTAAACCAGGGTGGAAGCTGGAGTCAGTGGGCTGGATGCGGGTTTAATTGTCTCTGTGTTGTTCAGGTGTGTGTGTGTGTGTTTCGGTCGGCTCATCGGATCCTCTTCTGCTGCCGCGCTCGATAGATGTCGTGGATGGGAGGTGCGATCGATCCTTTGTCTTCCTCCTCGTCTGAATCAGCGTTAGGCCTTTTCAAGGACTTGTTTGCCACAGCGTGGTTTTCCACAGGTCCGTTTCCTTCGCTGCTCGTCTCGAACTGCTTCCCAGTGATCAACTCTACAGCAGCATCTACCGCTAGAGAGAGAACGAGAGCGCAAGCTTTATAGATCATGAACGTGTGAATCTCACAAAACCTTGAAAGAATGCATCACATTTATCCCTAAAACATTAATCACCCTTACGTTTTGTTACTTCAATGCCGAAAAATTTAATTAAAGAGTGAAATGTGTAATTATTCTGATATCTTTTAACTACATTTTCTTTTTAAATAATAATAGCTTTAACAATTTTTACTAATAATGAGAATCTATCAAAAGTAATAAGAACCACATTATATTACCTTTATTTGTTGTTAATTAAGCCACTTTCTATTCTCATTACTATAATTCCAAAATGTATTTTTAGTATATAATATTATTATATTACCACCGTTCAAAATATTTTATTGGTAAGATTTTTCAATGTTTTCAAAAAGTCTTCTGCTCATCAAGGCTGCATTTATTTGATCAAAAATGCAGTAAAAACTGTTATTACAATTTAAAAGAACTATTTTCTGTTCTCATATATTTAAATATGCAATTTATTCCTGTGATGCAAAGCTGAATTTTCAGCATCATTACTCCAGTCTTTAGTGTCACATGATCCTTCAGAAATCATTCTAATATTATTTGCTGCTCAAGAAACATTCATTGTTAAAGTAGAAAACAGTTTATCAATTTAATGCATCACTGCTGGATAAAAATATTCATTTCTTTCAACAACAACAACAACAAATTGTTTAGTACAACAGACGTCCCTGTATTACTGAAATGAGAATGAATTAGAACGAATGAAACCATGGAGTGAGATATCGGAGATCATATGATGATATTCTGTGATACTTACTCTCTGGTAATACACATCTTCTGAGAGACTCCATCAGCTCATCAACCTGCACAAAGGGACCCTAAAAACACACACACACACACATGATCACACTGTCTTGACGCTTATGTTTAAATATCTTGAGGATATCTTATCTGACATGCTACAGTTTAGTCTGAAGCATTTAAAAGAAGAAGAGGTGTTGAACTGACTGTAAAACAGCTGGGAGGAGGCAGCAGCTTCATGAGGATGACAGCAGTTGTAGGGACAGGAAACACTCCTCCAGGAACAGGATGCAGGCCGGGAGCTGTCAGGAGGACACGTCACCAAACTTAGCAATGCACACAATCACCTCAAAGTAAGAATTGCACAACTGGGAATGATCTATTGACATGTATTTCGCAAACTTTTTCTCTCACAATTGTGACTTATTATTAATTGAGATATAAACTCAGAATTGAGATAAATAAAATCACAAATCTGAGAAGAAAAGGCCAAACTTTGAGATAAACAGTTGCAATTACCTTTACATTTTTTTTTATTGTGGCAGAAACAAACAAACAAAAAACAATTCTAAGATGTAAACTCAAAAATTCTAAGAAAAAAAAAGTCAGAATTGTCAAGTCTCCAATGTTGCTTTCAAAGGCCAAGAAGCGCGCCCAGATTTCCCTGTTACACCAAAAATCACACGTTAACATCAGGAATATTATCCTTTTCACATTACATTTAACCCTGGGTTAAAGTCGCAACGAAATGGAATTAGTGAGAGATGTTTTCTTCTATATTGTGGCATACATCTAAGTGTAACAAATTATTGAAAAAAAATAAAAATAAAAAATGTAGGGCAGGGATTGGTTCTACACATCGGTTGTTGATTGGGTGTTGAGATGTGGCCTGGAAGATCAAGTTAGAAGGTTTAGATTAAACATTAAAAGGCCAAAGCAATATTTGAAAAATTATTATATAAAAATATTTTGTTTCAATTATTAACATCCTGCACATTCTGCAAGGGGTATGTAAACTTACGAGCACAACTGTATTTGTTTGCACATCTTGTAAGTTGTAAAATGTACATAAACATATGTGTCAAAGCATTGGGCATGGTATCGCAAATTCACAAGGTATTATTGAATCCAATTGCGAAAAGTCAGACTGAAACATTTCCTTGCTTCATTTTTTCCTATCAATCAGATTATTTCAGGTTTACACCACTCCTTCCAATCCGAGTGAAATTTCATTCAGATTGAGCTGTCGACCTCTTTTCAATCTGACTGAGCCATCGATTCATTTACAAACAGATTATTTAGTTGCATTGAAACGTAGCTTGTGTGAAACATTAAATGTTAATGAGTGTTAGTCCAGGGTTGAAAAATAACTCGGACTTGAGCAATTATAAAGCGTCAAAAGCCTAGCAGATAGTTAGGAATATTTAACAGCAAATTAAAAGAAATAGATGGTATATTTGCGAGAAAAAAAAATTATCAATAAAATCCCACTAACCCAGATTTCTCAGGGGAAAGACTGCCGGACATCAGGACTCTCTCAAACAGGACTCTAGTGTTGTTGTCCTCTGTGATGGAGGGAAGGGCAAACAAGCTCAATAATTCATTTTTGAAAACGTTTTACTTCTCTTCTTTTTTGGTAATAGCCTAGCGACAAGATAAACACGAGCGATGTTTACTGCATGGCAAACACCGTCTCCTAGCTATCTGCTTTATAAAGGAGACGAATGGTTTGTTTGGTCTGATAAGCGCTCCTGTGTCAGATATCATCATCTGCGTGTGTAAATAAACAACCATCTCGAGGGCATGTCAATGATACGCAATCTCTCAAAGCTTGGGCTGAAATAGTTTTTCTCCAGCGTTTCACCCAATGTGATACAGGCTGGATGAAATGTGACAGGGCAGTACAGGTGTAATAAATGTCACTGATTGTTTAGAAGCAGATTAAAAGGAGACTGTGAATTCACCAAACGTGTGCATGGAGGGAATGGCGTTCTTACCGTTTAAGTGAGAGAGGTAATCAATGTAGGCCAAAATGTATTCAGGAATGTCACCGTATTTCTTCAGTCCAAGCTCAAATATCTTAAAGGCCACAGATTTGTCCTGTCGGCAAAGGAAAAGTCATTCAGATACTCCGTTTTATGTCTGGATACACATTTCAAATGCATAAACTGAATCAAACGTCCTTTAGATATGTGAGGGGCGGAAAGTAATTGTTTAATAATAGTGAAGGTCACAGTGTGAATTTTTTTTTTACATGGTTTCCACAAAAATATCAACCAGCAAAACTGTTTTTAACATTGATAATAATCAGAAATGTTTCTTGAGCAGCAAATCAGCATATGACGATGATTTCTAAAGGATCATGTGACAGTGAAGACTTGAGTAAAGGTCCTTGCACACTGAATCCGAAATTTTCGTATGCGTTTTTCCGTTTTTTTTTTTCGTATTAGTCATCCTTTCCTATCAAAATGCTTGCTACGGATGCGAAAACGCAGAAAATCGAACCTGGTCCGAATTTTTTTTATGATGGACAAAAGTTTCGGAGGCAGTGTGTAAACATGATTGACACAACGTGAGGTCGTATTTATTTTTCAACGTGCAAAAATTTCGGACTCAGTCGTGCAGAGACCTTCACGATGCTGAAAATTCAGCTTTGATCACAGGAATAAATTACATTTTAAAACACATTCAAATAAAAACATTTTAAACTGTAATAATATTTCACATTTTTTATTAAATGCATAAGAGACTTCTTTTTTAAAACATTTACAACTAAAATATTTGAATGCTAGTGTAAATATAAGAGACGTGGTGATGAAGTTACCTTGCTGCAGTAGTACTCCATAAGAGCAGCAGTGACATACACATGATGCCGTGTGCGAGGATCCTCTCTGGCCTTCTTAAAGATGGTGCGGCCAGACTTGATGCCTTCAGCTCTTCTGGCAAATTTCATGTACTGGATATAGACCTGAACAATTCAAGAGCATCAAAGGTCAGTCTCTCTTTATTCACAGTGAAAACAAGGAATTTCCCAGATATTTCTGGTCAACTGTGATTATTGATTCAAAATAATTTCTTGAATTACTCAGAAATACAGAAACACTAGCAGGTTTTACTCCAGAGCAGCAATTTTATTATGATTATTTGTCCATCGCAGGCATTTGTCTCCAAAGAGAGCTGAACTCACCAATGTAGGGTCAATATCTTCTATGGCCAGGAAGCGGTTGTATATACTATGAACTTTCTCATGCTTCATGCGACTCTGCGAAACACAGGTTAAAAATATAAATGGACAAAGGTCGAATTGACAGATTACAGGGGACAGGACTTTTTTGCTCTTATAAAATAGTTTAATTAACCATTTAAGCTCCCTCCCCAATAATAAAAGCTAAGCGGGGAAAAACAACAAAAAACATCAAAAATAATCATGACATAACAACCAGGGTTATTATAGTTAAAGGGGTCATATGATGCTGCTAAAAAGAACATTATTTTGTGTATTTGGTGTAATGAAATGTGTTTATGCGGTATGTGGGGGCGTGTTAGAACGAGCCATTTTAGGTAGGCGTGGTTGACTCTTAACTTTTATAAAGAATATCTCTTTGGATTTGAGACTTTAGTCTTTGCAACTTTACAGATCTTCTTTATGCACCAAGAGCTTGTAACACTCCAAAGAGAAAGGAAAAATTTAAATCGCATCATATGACCCCTATAACTAAAAATAAAACCACACAAAAACATTTTCGTTATTTCAAATATTTAAAAAAAATTTTTATTTCAGGTAGTAGTCAAACTAAAAAAAATAAAAAATAAAAAAATAATAATAATAAAAACTACATATATAACTAAACGTATAAAAATGTCAGAATCAGAATGAGCTTTATTGCCAAGTATGCTTCCGCATACAAGGAATTTGTTTTAGTGTCACAAGCTTCCAGTACACAGAGACAACAACACACAGACAATAAAAATACACACATATGTAAATATAAATAGACAAAAATAGAAATAATAAATTAAAATAAATTGTATGTACAGTTGTGCTATAGATGATAGAATAGGAATAGAATAGAGTGAGATGCAGGGATGTACTAGGATGTAGGTGGTAACAAATAAATAAATACATTTATTAAATATACATACAATAAAATTACTAAAAACTTAAAATTAAAACAGTGAATATAAAATTCCAAATATTAATAAACACTATAATTGTATTTCAGCGATACTGAAGTAACACTGGTCACAAGCATAGATTAACATCCACATAATCAGTACTAAGAAACTTGCCCATCTTGCATGACAGAGTGAACTATTCTTACAAATGCAATTTAAAAAAGAGGTAATTTACATTTAGAAGTCTTAAAGATAGAGTAGCAAAACAGCCTATTTAATTGTAAAGGTAAGACATTAGACCTTAAAATGTGTAGAATAGGCCCTTTTATAGGTAATAACAGCTCAGGTCATCCAGAGACCTCTTACCTCTTCATAATCTGCAAAAGAGAAATACAGCAGCATGTTCTTCTTGAGCAGAGATCCAATGGCACGCTCGTAGATGTTAGCTGCCTCATCACTGAACAGCTTGGCATTGTTCATGTCCTGAATGAGGAGATCATGAGTGCAATAAGATTAGCATGCAACACAGCACCTAAATGCAACCAAAGGGAAACAATTTTGTAACCATTTTTAATGTCCATCACCACCAAAACGGTGTTTATATAAAATGATTTGCAAACCAACCCCTTTTTCTGCCAGCAGTTTGCTGGACTGTTCCAGGTACTGGGCAGCTTCATACCAGACGTCCGGGTGATGGCCGAGCACCAGAAGGCACTGCTCATAGGCAAACATCACTGCAAGTGACAAATAAAAAAATTAGGTACAGAAAATGGCCTGATTTAACGACAAACACCACTTTAAAAGAGACCAAACTCTACCAGAGAAGATTTTACACTGTATTTTGCAATGCACTTCAGTACATTTATGTTGTTGCAAAATGTAAACTGTAGTATTGCACAGCTCTGTATTTAAAGATAAGTATGTTACACTTGCATAGGCCAATATATAGCGGAAAACTCAAATGCATATTTGCAAAATGTAAACTATATTAACGTCCAGCTCTAATCTGTTAAATTCTAATATACGGCATGAAGATATTAAGATATTATAAACATTAACATCATGATTTTCTGTAAAGCTGCTCTAAAATGAACGAGATGCTCTACACAGGACTAAAACAGCAGATGATCGATTGTCAAAACCTGCAGCTCATAGTTTATGAATCTTCCTGTAAGTCACCTCTCTTGGTGATGAGGGTCTGATCTTCGGTACGCAGTGGGTTGCTCTTCTCCCATTGGATGTATTTCTTCCACATCTCCACCTGCTGGGCCTCCTGTGGGGAGTTACTATATTAACGTCCAGCTCTAATCTGTTAAATTCTAATATACGGCATGAAGATATTAAGATATTATAAACATTAACATCATGATTTTCTGTAAAGCTGCTCTAAAATGAACGAGATGCTCTACACAGGACTAAAACAGCAGATGATCGATTGTCAAAACCTGCAGCTCATAGTTTATGAATCTTCCTGTAAGTCACCTCTCTTGGTGATGAGGGTCTGATCTTCGGTACGCAGTGGGTTGCTCTTCTCCCATTGGATGTATTTCTTCCACATCCCCACCTGCTGGGCCTCCTGTGGGGAGTTCTGGGGCGGCACTGAGGGGGCGTTCCGGTCCAAACCCTTCATCACCGTCTCATACTCCTGAACGGGATTACAATCACACCATCAGCATAGAGAAATAGCATGACGAGAAGAAAGAGATGCAGATGCGATTGTGAGAGATTTCTAAAAATAGTACTTTTTTTTATGTGCTTTTTTGCACGTATTTAAAAAAAAACGTTATTGCTTTATCCCATCATACACTTTCACCCATGCAGAACTCACCTTGGCGACTCTCCTGGCGTTCATGTAGTCTCTACTCCGGTCTTCAATCATCTTTTTGGCCAAGTGCACATTTATGCCCTTTATAATGGAACAAAAGCGATTTATGGACAGTATGTGCACATTACAACCAAATGAACAATAGAAAGCTGAAGATGACTTGCTCCTAACAAACCTGAATTCTTGCTGAGTGTCCTAAACCAGAATAACACATCCATTAATTCTCACCTCTTCATATTTGCTGTAGTCCCTCCAGAGCTGCTCAATGTTAATCATGGGGTTGACGCAGCCTCTCTGATAAACTCGTCTGACAGCTGTGATGCGCTGGTTCTCAGCATATGACCCCACAGCCTCTCTAGAGGCGCATACAGAGAGCCCTTCAAATGCCTCATCAACTTCTTTAATGACCGTGAAATGAGTTTTGAAAATATAAATGGTGTACTTACACTCCTTTGAGGAAATTGATGTAATCCACCCAAATCTAAGAGAAGGAGAAGAGTTTTGAGTTAATGTCCATAAAGCCATAGAACAAGTTAGGATAGAACTAACGGTCAAAACACTCACCTGATAGGACATAATCTCCATCCCAATCTTATCCAAGGCAAAATCATAAGCCTGTGCCATCTTTTCCCTGCCAAAGGACAGTACATTTTAAGTATTTAAAACCACTTTTTAAGTATGTGTGCAACAAGAAAGCATACAACTAACAATGCACAAGAAAGTGACCAAGTGATAAAACCGTCAACCAATAATGTGCAACTTTCTGTTTTTAAAATTGGTTGTAAAGTAAAAGTAGGCCTAAATCTGTAAAGAAAAAAAAATTCAGGTCCAGAAAAAAAATGCTTTTATCTTGCATTCTTCTAACTTGGATCAAGTGGATCACTAAAGTGGATCAAAAAAAGTTAATCAAAGTTGTCATAAGACAAGAACGCATTTTGGTTTTAGGACAACTTTGGATCCACTTCAAATGTTGACTAGTGTATATTATCAGCATAACAGTGAGAATCAATTTGGTTATTAATAATTGTCCCTCTTTTACTTTAATGACAAAACTTGATATTCATGTTATCCAGCATTATTTGAGGCAGTTTCAAAGAGCATCTTGTGCTTCCATGGAAACTAGAAAACCAGACATGATAGTTTGCATAGTCATTGTCAAAAATCTGATAAGCAAACTAATTATAATGCAGAATCAGATTTTTCCCCCTATTCATTCTACATCAGCCGTTTTATTTTTTTAAGCATTAACGTAATTTCCTTCTAGATTTTGAATCCCAGATTGAACTGTGTTCTCAGAGCTTTTTGACCCCTCTGTATATTAGTGTATTATCAATCACCTTCTTCTCTAGATAAAGTCACTTGATCACTACTTTAAAGCCATATAAACACAACTATATCACATACTTATAGCTGGGCAGTTTCCCTTTGGTTTCCCGTACATATGAGAGATAACACTTCCACAGGTCAATGTGCAGAACCTTCATTAAGCACCTCTGAAATAACTGAGCAAGAGAGACACAAAACACAGCACATAAAATTACAGTACTGCCTGTAATACTGTAATCATGCACACACACTTTTAATTACAGCAATCCTTTAACAAAATATTACTGCGATAGTAACATCGTACAGACTTAGGATTGCATAATCATGATAGAGAAATACAAACACATATCAGAGTCAACAAATTCTAGATTAGGCTCCAAAATTATGTAAAAATATACTGAAGTTATAATTATGCTGCTTACATCGATCATTAGATGGCACTTCAATATAACCATGGATGATTAACATTCATATATCATGGCATTTGCATGGTAATCTAAAGTAATGCAAAGAATACCACGTCCTAAAAACCACAGTAGCACCATGGTCTTTTCGTGTTACAGTTTTCAGAAACAAAAGGGTCATGTGAGGTATGCGACTCAAAATTGACCCAGTATGACTGATGTTTTGTTGCTAAAATGCATTAACAGGGAATTGCTCACTGAACTGGGATCAAAAAAGACAATATATCCAACGAAGAACCAAATCTGTAATCTGCTTTTCCTCATTTTATGTCTGATTGCTGGATTTAGAAGAGCAAACAGGATATTTCTAGTCAAGCAGGGTGTTACTTTACTTCATTGCAACATCTTGATGTTTACTCTGCCTGAGCTTTTGAAGGCCTAAAGTGGTGACCTAGATACAGCTCAGTTTTTATGGTCTCACACCTGTGAATTTGTCTGTTACAACAATCAGAGTACTATCACACGAGTGTTACAGTTTTCAGAAACAAAAGGGTCATGTGAGGTATGCGACTCAAAATTGACCCAGTATGACTGATGTTTTGTTGCTAAAATGCATTAACAGGGAATTGCTCACTGAACTGGGATCAAAAAAGACAATATATCCAACGAAGAACCAAATCTGTAATCTGCTGCTTTTCCTCATTTTATGTCTGATTGCTGGATTTAGAAGAGCAAACAGGATATTTCTAGTCAAGCAGGGTGTTACTTTACTTCATTGCAACATCTTGATGTTTACTCTGCCTGAGCTTTTGAAGGCCTAAAGTGGTGACCTAGATAAAGCTCAGTTTTTATGGTCTCACACCTGTGAATTTGTCTGTTACAACAATCAGAGTACTATCACACGATCAATAAACTCGACATGTGGCTTCCACGCGATAACAAACGCTTACCTTTTCAACCTTGTCATAGTTTTTAGCCTTGATCTGTGGACACATTTGAAAACCAATATTATTAAAAAGTGATGGTCTGTGGCAAGACTGATTTGCTCCACACACAAACCCTTTAACCTCAACAATGTGACATTCACACAACTCTGCATAATATTGTGTCCGTTAACTCCATTTATTAAAAGCATGTGATGCTGCATATCATATCAGTCACAAGATTCACTAGAGCTAGTTTGAAGAATTACTCATTTTATGTGTGTGCACAGGCCACAAAGCAACCAATGTTGTGCATTATGTGTTAGTAAAAATATTTGTGCTGTCAAACGATTAATCGCGATTAATCGCATCCAAAATAAAAGTTTTTACATATGTGATGTGTACTGTGTATATTTATTATGTATATATAAATACACACACATACAGTATATATTTTGAAAATATTTGCATGTATATATTTATATTCTTATATTTTATATCATATATAAATATAATATATAAACATAAAATTTTTCTTAAATATATACATGCATGTGTTTGTATTTATATATACATAATAAATATACACAGTATACACACATATCTTATGTAAACAAAAACTTTTATTTTGGATACGATTAATCGTGATTAATCGTTTGACAGCACTAAAAAAAAATATACATTTTTGGAGTGCATAGTCCTGACAAAGCATCGACCCTATGAGCTGCATCTGAAGCTTTTACAAAGCTATAGTTTTTGGCTCAGTAAGTAAAAACAAGTACTATAGAGTTGGGAATGTGTCATATGAAATATCATGCTCAAATGACGACGATAACTTACAATACAGGTTTACTCAAGTTTATTTCTCTTATTCAAAATCCTCCAAGCCAAAAAAAAAAAATCATCATCACAGAGGTTACAAATCAACATTTAATCATTTTTGTAGTAACATTTCAACCTCAAATAAATAATTTGCATTGAATAAGAGCCAACAATAAACAGCAAAAACGTTGCAATACTGTGTATTAAAAAAAAACACAACACACCAAGAAAACAAATCTCATATCATTTCTCACCACTACGTCATACACAGAAATAAAACTTCAAGGCTCAACAATAAGGATTTATCTCTGCTGGCATGACATAAATATAATAAATAACTTGTCAGAAAAAAATAAAAATTTTCATTAAACTAATTTTCCCCAAAGCTGCCACAACTAGCCTATAATGTCACTGCAATGACAGTTTTAAAAGGAAGCTGTTGGGATGGGATATAACAAAATAAAAAAGGTAACTGCAACGGAACTCACATTCCAGACCCTTTTCCTCACGATTCAGTTTAGAAAAGATTGTGAGTTATAAACTAACATCATGCAATTTTTGACTTTTTTCTCAGAAAAAATAAACTTGCAAGTGAGTCAACAAAGAGTCATAAACTCACAATTGCGAGAAAACTTGTAAGAAAAGAATTGTGAAGTAAAAAGTTGCAATTATATTTTTGCAATTTTTCTAGTAGCAGAAAAAACAATTGCGAGATGTAAATTTAGAATTTCGAGGAAAAAGTCAGAATTCTCAGTTTATATCTCGCAATAATTAATTTATATCTTATAGACTTGCTAGAAAAAAAGTCTGAATTGTGAAATAAAAGTCACAATTTTTTAATCCTGTGCGGAAATGGGCTTGCATAGCTATGAATTCATAAACATGCTTTACAGTGCAAAACGTGTTATTTTTAGTCTTCGGTCTATTTCAAGAAAAGTTCCTAAGTCTTTTGCTGGTCATTCAGACAATTTCCTCCACAACACAAAATCTTCGTTTCTTAGCCAGTTAAAATAATGATTTGCAACAAATGTTTAATAAATCACAGAAATCCAGATGTTTATATTTGCAAGGCATAAACATATCATGGGATGCATGATTTAGTAGCCAACTGATAGGGCAAGTGATTCTGGTAACCGGCCTAAAGTCATGAACTTATGCAAGTTTCAGTATTCTGATCAAATATACATGCAAATGCATTCCTAAAGACAAACAGCAGTCAAGTGTGAAAATTCTCCCAAGTACTCAAATAACTGGCACAAATGATGAGAACTGATTTTAAACATTTAGTGAAATCATTTGGAGAACTGTGGTATGGTAGTATAAAACCAGATTAGCGAGAACTTGCAAGAGTGAAGCGGATATACAAAGACTCTCTGAATCTAGTTGTAATAGACCTTAGTCCGAGCAGCCATGTATTGGCAATTTTCTCCAAATGATTTCACTGTTTCAGAGGTACAGAAACTCTGTAGGATTGTGTAACTATCCTGTTGAGCCATACATTTTTTTTTTTTTTTAAATAGACTACCAAAAAACGATTGCCTATTATCAAACAGACCATCAGGGACTGAAGCATTTTCACTGATAACAACATAAATGGTAAAGGCAGTTTTTTTTTTTAGCTGAATTAATTAATTCTTAATTGTCTGTGCAAGTGTACTGTACTACATTCTAGTGTCACAACATTAGAAACAAAAACTTTAACAGAAAACGGATAAAATTGTTAACACTAGACAACATGCTGTTGTTATCACTAAGAGGATAGTTGACCCAAAAATGAAAATCTTTATCATTTACTCACCCTCATGCTGTAACATTACCTTCTACTATAGAACATAAAAGAAAAGTAAAAACATTAAACTGTTTCCCCTCCATACAATTGCACAGGCAAAACAAAAATATATTTTTTAAAGGTCTATTTTGTTCCACAGGGGAACGTCATACAGGTTCAGAATGACATGAGATCGAGCAAATAATGTCAATTTTCATTTCAGGGTTAACTACCCCAAAGGCCATTTCAGTTAACCTCTGTGGTCCTTCATAATGTTAAATCGCAGTAATATCGCTGAGATCAGCTGTAAGAGGCGGCTGGCAGAGTGTCTGTGCTCCAGGGCAAATGGTGACAGCCTGACATACTTAACCAACCTCTCAACAGCTCCAAATGAAATCAAAACTCAGCATGACAGTGTGAAAAATACTGGTATTGAGGCAGAATGGCTCTGGGGCACGATCACTGCGGGACTGCCGTCTCCATGCCTCGGACAGACGCACGCATGCACACACACTCACTGACACAAATTACAATGCACATTACAACGACAAGCCAAACTTGTTAAGAGTGCATTTTATTACAGTAGGGGTAAAAAGAACAGTTTTCTCAAATCCAAGCAGTTTTGACTAAGGGTGGAGAAGCTTGAAGAATAATCAAACAGCAATTATTTTCATGATCGGAAATACTCAATCATACTGTAAGTAATCTGATCCAGATCAGTGCATAAAAACCTACGTGATTTGTTCTTGATTGTTCTAATATCCACCTTATTTTTGACTTAAGAGCAGCCTGAATGTGCAAGGCTTCCGGTGTCCTTGACTTCCCGTTATTTTAGCTGCGCAAACACAGTCTGTTATGTTGCTTGCTATTGCAAACGGGTTTTTTTTTAATTTATTTATTTTTATTCATTATGACAATGATAAACACACTGGTTTGTAGTACTTTTACGGTTTACAGCACTTCGTTATTCTAATTATTTACCTATAGTGCCTAGTAAATCTGAAGGCTTGCACATTTAAAGAAAACAGCTTCACATTGCAAAATAAGGTGACTACTATCTCAATTGAGTATAATGAATCACATTAAATAGAATTTTCAAACCCTTTTAAACTTAAATCCAGGTGATAACAGCAAAAATCGGTTTACGCTTAGCGGGTGG